AATGCAAGTTCCAGAGTTCTGGACCGGCAATGCAGTATTTCCGAGATTTTACTGAGCTAGTCAACGTGTCCCGAGCCTCCTCTTACAGGTCAGCGACCTCGGCGCTCCTCCTCTTCAGTACCGAAGCCTAGTGCGCTGTCCAGGCGTGGAGAGCCTCGTGGCGCCCAGCCTCTTCCCGGCATAGATGGGCTGTCGCGGGCCCTGGACTGCTGTGGTCCCAAGAACAAAAGGCTGCGGGAGCGGGAACAAAGCTGGAGAGGTGATGTGGCCTCTGAGCACCAGTGAAATTGTGACAAACTCTGTGACCCTCCCCAGCTGACAGCAGGCAAACCTTTTTCTGAATCTCTATCCACCGCTTGGTCAGCGCTGGGCTGATAGGCAGTCACTGGGGGAAGGGAGGGAGGGGGTGAGGGCGAGGACAAAGGGACAGTCCCGAGTGTCACTTTCACTGCACTGGGTGTTAAGAACATTTCCTAGAGTCCTGCGGGTCTGGGAGAACTGGGGGGAGGAGAGGGGCTTTCTGCCTGCCCTACCTTCACAGGGCTCATCTCCAGAAATCACTGAGAAGGTGCAACTTGCAGGAGAAAAGGAATTCAGCTGCCCCACCTCTGGCATCCCAAAAAGTTCAAATACAAAAATCCTCCAATCGAGCGAATTCCACACAGAAATGTTGGTGTGAGGAAAAGGACCTGAGTGAGACTTGAGATCAGCTGCTTTTGCTATGCCCACTTAATTATCAGAGGTCTGGGTGCCAAGAGTCTCCAAGACTTGTAAGACCCTTAGCCCCTGGGCTGTGTGTCTTGATGCCTACTGCCATAGGAAAGTCCACAATGTCCTGCCGCAGCCCCCAAATTCTGAGAAACTTCATAGATTCCCAGCTGGGAGGAGCAGCAGGCTCCTCCCAGCTGGGAAGCCTCCTTTGATTTAGATGGAAGGGGAGGCGTGTGACAGTCAGGTGATTTCACCTGGCTGGTGAGTGGCTGCCGAACTGGGACTACAGTGACCCTTCCACAGTTCTATTGTCTCATCAGCCAAGCGGGAATACAGTGGGATATTGAGGAAGTGGTGACAGCCTGGCCCAAAGTGACCCAGAGTCTGACCTTCCCTTTGACAGCTGGGAGAGGCTGCTGCCCTTTTCCTGGATTGGGGACCCTCTAACCAACTCAGTTCTCCCTCTCACATATGCCCTAGTTCTGCCTCAAGAACTCCAACTCTGAGCAACATCGGCACTGTATGCCCAGTGCCACGCCCAGCACGGAAGAGCCAGTAGCCCCTGACTCCCATTCTAGTGGAAGGACAGATGACAAACAGTCCATGCACACGGGAAATCATGTCAGCAGCTTTCCAGGAAGGAAACTTCGTGCCAGAGAGCTGAAGGGAGAAAGATTGTCTGCCCCTTGCAGCGCACAGTGTCTCCTGCCCTAGGAAAGAGCAAGATGCTTCCTGTGTGACTACCTAGCAGAGATGGGCAGCTAGAGAATGTGCCAGGAGGTAAGGGCCTGGGGGTTAAGGGGCTCCACTTATGGAGAAAAAAAAAAAAAAACCCTGAGTCAAGGAGCAGAAGCCAGAACTGGAGACAGCCTCTGTGGCTTCCAGAAGGCTAAAGTGTGCCATGATCTCTCGGTGAGGGTGCTTAGACTTTCTACTGAGGCAGTCAGGATAGCTAGATGGCAAATGGGTGAACAAATGAGTTAACAGAGAGAAGGATAATCAGCTGCACTTGGGAGTGAGAAGACTTCCAAATGAGGGGTCTATGAAGGTTTGCAGGATGGTTCCCTGGTAGCACCATCAAAGGACTTGCCCAAAACTTACTCACAGGCACATTCTCAACCTTACTCAGAAACTCAGCCCCCTTGAACATAAGCTGTGATTCAGACAGTTGAAGGTCCTCTGCTCAAATGCCACACCCAGAGTGCTCAGGGTTCAAATTCCTAGGCAGCCACCAAAAGGTTGAATAAGGTAGTGATTAAGCAGGTAGCCCAAAGCTCAGGGCCCGTGGCAGTGAGAGGCGGTGGATACACGCTGAGTACCCCCGGGTCTGAGGGAGACAGGGACATTGTGAAATTGCAACTGGCCCCCAGCCCACTGTTGGAATTTCTTGCTCACAGACCTCCCTTCCTAAGTGGAAGTGGACAGGAGGAGTGGGAAGACGGCAGTCCACATCTGGATGTCTGAGGTAGCCCCTGGGCTCCAGAGACTGCAGTCACTCCTACTTGCTTGAAAGTCTTGGACAAAAATGAGTCTTTAAGCCTCTGGGAACTGCATGACGTTTTCATTCATTCATTCAACACACGGTTTATGAGTGTTTGTGCTGTGCCAAGACCTGCGGTGCACAAGGCAGGCTTGGTCCCCGTTTTAAGAGAACTTACTGTTCTGGGGCTGAAGTACAGGCGAGCGCAGCCCAGAAGAGGCCATCATGGTATTAATTTTTGACACTTGATTTTGGAAGAGGAGCCAAGTAGGCAACTGGTTGCCCTTGGCTAAATCACGGGCTCCTGGATCGCTGCTGTGCTGGAAGGCTGGACAGAAGGAAGAGATGAGAGTACTTCGGGCCCCCAAGTCTAATACTTCATTCTGTAAATGTTAGTGCCAGAACCAGGAGGCTGCTCTTCAGGAAGCAGGAAGTAGAGCTCTGAGCACAAACAGTGGTCAAGCACCCCTGAGGTCTGGAATGGTACAGAGATGAGTGGGTGCTTAAACCACAGCTGACAGGGCATGAGGTTCAGGGATGAGACTAGCAGGGCATGGGGTTTAGGGATGAGCTCCAAATCATGAGGAAGCAGAAGGGTGACAGAAAATGAACCACCTATGAGATGCCCAGGTGGGAGAACTCCATAAGCTCTAGACCGACAGAAACTCTGACGGGACAGGAACATTCAGGATGGTGGCAGGTCTATCTGCCCTTTTGCTACCTGAGACTGAACAATGATTTGGGTTTGAGGGACTCAGTCTACCCAAAGCAAAACAAGTATGTCAAGACAAGCATGTGAGGCCAAATGGATGTGGCTAGGGCACAACAGACATTCTGTAAACACGAGACTCTCTGGTGGTTAAGGTCTGTTGGCCAGAGAGATAGACACGGGTTTCTAACCAGCCATGGGGGGGGGGGGTGCCATAGTAGCCCAGCTCCTCTGGTTCTGAGGAATATCTTTATTAATGAGCACTTCAGCGAAGCCAGTAATGAAAATCAGATGTGGGATGGAGCAGGCTGCTTGGAGGAAGATAACGAGGGGTGGAGTGGTGAGGGAGCAAGGGTAGGTGAGGTTGGAGGTCGATGCAAGTCTCCCAGACTTTTTTCCTCTGGGAGCCTCAAGTGCAGAGTGGGCACCCCATCCTTGGGTCCAGAGCATTCAGGGCCTCTCTACCCCAGCCTCCCCAGCCTCCCCTTGAGGCAAGCCCTCCATTCTCAGCTCTAAAGAACTTCCCACCTGAGCCTTTCTGCAGCTGGATGCCCATGAGTTTTGGGGTCTCCATTGTTGACCTTTGCTTCCATTTCCCAAGTCTAAACAGAGAGACTTATGTCTGCATGGGCTCCAAGGGGAGAACTGTTGACTTCTCAGGGCCCCTTCTCACTGTGTGATTTTGACCACGTGTCTTCACCTCGCTGAGACCCAGTTTTTTCACAGGAAAACAAGAAAGTCTAATCTCTCTGTTGGTTGTGAGGTGCAACCAATGCCAGGAGCATCTGACTGGCCGTGAAAGTTCCTAACCCCTTGCCATGTGAAGATCCAGGTGTCCACATAAATCCACACCATGGGTGTGGTTATGCATGCCTGCCATCCTGTACAGAAACAGGATCCTGAGTTTCAAGCCAGCCTGAGCTAACCAGTGAGACCCTGTTTCAAAATCAACAAAACTTGAGCCTTTTATTTTACAACGGAGGTGGGTGGATGGGCGCAGTGCAGAGAGACTGACTTCCCCAACAGGTGACAGGGCCAACTAGCCTGCAAGGAGGGACAGGAAGGACGCTTCTGAAAGCCCCATTCTCAGCCTGGCTTTGAGCAACACTTCCTCGCCCCCTGCATGCAAGAGGCCGGGGAGCTTGGCCTGAGAAAGGCAGCTGAGGTGCTTAGCTTGGAGCCAGGCCAGTCTAGGGTCCCTCCAGTGACTGAGGGAGCACAGGTCTCACTGCACCGGAGCCCAGAGCCCTTGGTGGCGAGCTCTGTTGTGTGTGAATTACTGGGAAGACTCCGGAATAGGGAGGCGGGATTGAAAACCCAGGCAAAAGTCCCGACAGGCAGGCCCCGGGCTGCTCTGCCAAGTTCACCAAAAAAAAAAAGCATTCAAGGGATCCACCAGACCCGCGGCCCATCGGACTCCGAATGTCAAAACCTCTTACCGTTCTCTTTAACCTGTCAAAATTTGGCATTCTCTCATACCCTAGGCCCTAGCTGAGACGGTGCGTCAATTCGCAGCCCGGCTTGGGAAGCCACTAGGGTCGCCGCACCTCCCCACCCTAGCCTAAAATCCGAAAGGCCTGAAGGGTCCTCCGGGTCGAATCGCCTCTAGTCATTGAGTGGCATCTCTAGTGAGAGGAAAGGAGGAGGGGCGGGAGAAGGGAGGGAGGAAGGAGCGCTGGGAGAGGAGGGGAGGGAGGAGGGGGCAGGAAGAAGCAAGTCAGAGATTTTTTTTTTTTCCTTCCCCTGCTTCAAAAACCTTAAGAGGGTTTGGGAGATCTGGTGAACTTTCCGAAGCATCCGAATCTTTTTACAGCTCTCGGTCCCTTCCCTGAGCCAGCTGTGGGGAGCAAACGGGGGGCGGGGGAGGGGAGGGTGGAGAGAGGAGAGCAAGAGTGAGACAGAGGGAAGGAGGGAGGGAGGGAGAGAGAGAGAGAGAGAGAGAGAGAGAGAGAGAGAAAGAAAGAGAGAGAGAGAGAGCGCAGGCCTGGCGCGGAGCTCTGCCACCGCCTCCTCGCCTCCCCTACCCTTCGCCCAGGCGCGCGGTGGCGTCCTCGCGCCCTCCCCGGCGCCCCCGCCCGTCGCCCCCGCCGCCGGCCAGGCATGAACGCTGAGACCTGCGTCTCTTACTGCGAATCGCCGGCCGCTGCTATGGACGCCTACTACAGCCCGGTGTCGCAGAGCCGGGAGGGCTCGTCTCCTTTCAGGGGCTTCCCAGGAGGCGACAAGTTCGGCGCCACTTTCCTGTCGGCCGCCGCCGCGGCCAAAGGACAGGGCTTCGGGGAAGCCAAGAGCCGGGCCCGCTACGGCGGCGGCGGCGGCGGCGGCGGCGCGGGGCAGCAGGACCTGGCGGCCCCGCTGGAGAGCCCCGGCGGGGCGCGGGGCTCCTTTAACAAGTTCCAGCCGCCGCCGCCGCCCACCCCGCAGCCGCCTCCCGCGCCGCCCGCGCCCCCACCGCCGGCGCATCTCTACTTGCAGCGGGGCGCCTGCAAGACGCCCCCAGACGGCGGCCTCAAGCTCCAGGAGGGCAGCGGCGGCCACAACGCGGCCCTACAGGTCCCCTGCTACGGTGAGTGCACGTGCGGGGCCACCGGGCCCGGGGACACCCCCACCCCACCCCCAAACCCGCCTGGGCTGGCGGGGAGGCTGGAGGTGGAGGACCAAGTGCTTGGAGAGGGTCCCCGCGCCCCGGCTGCGTCCCCGCCCGCGTCCCCGCTCCGGCCGGCTCGGCGCGCCAGGCGCTCTGGCTGTTCCTCCGGCCCGGGATCACCTCCCGGGTTTCTTCCCCGCTAAAGTTCGAAGCTTTAGCTTTGCTCTACGGCCGCGGGGCCGGATTCGAAGCGGCGGCTCCGTCCCGGGCTCTCGGAGGAGCTTCTCGCGCCACGCTCGGCGCGCGTGGCTCCCGGGGCCCTCGGAGGCCAGGCTCGGCTCCGCGCGCACCGCGCCGCAGGTAAGAAGCCGCAGGTGCCCGGCGCGCCCTGGGGTCCTGAGCGCGGTCCCCGACGCCCTGCCGTTTAAGAGCCCCGGCACCGCATCGTGTCGCGACGCTCGTGCGGGTCGCCGGGTCCCGAGAACCTGGAGCCCCAGAAAGCCCAGACCTAGCCCAGAACGCGGATTGCCTAGGGGACCGCGGCCCGCCCGTAGGAGGTGTCTGGAAGTAGCCGGCATCGAAGAGCAAGGTTTAGCACTCGTCGGGTGGGAAAGCGGTAATTCTGAGATACAGCCAGCACAGGACTGTGGGAAGAAGGGAGAATCCGAGTTCTGCTTTGGGCCCACAAGGAACCTGACCGAGATGCCCTGAATGACCTCCAAGCCCCCTTGAACGCGGCTGCAGGGTTCAGGCCTGAGTCCTCAGTGTTGGGCTGCTTTTGTGGACGAGACAGCAGATGAAGTGAGTTAGGAAACCAAAGCCCTTCGAGCTCCTACATTTTCTCCTTTCCCCTAGCATCCGAGTTAGGGAATCCAGAACTCAGGGGAAAAAGGACCCTCTCCCCCAGGCCTTTGTCTTTAGGCTGAGCCCTAGTGAGGTGGGCTGGTTCTTAACAGAGTAATGTCTCTGCCTGTCCTGACCCAAGCAGACTATAGAAGCACTAAGCCTAGGGACACAGGTGAAGCGTGGTGAGGCCTCCCTGGACCCATCTCAAGCTTTTAGGGCACTCACGCGAGCGCACACACTCCCGATAGAGCTGAAACAAACTTCTGGACATGATCACCCATTTACATAAACTTGAATTCTACACACACACACACACACACACACACACACACACTTATTGACCGACATGGTCACAATACCAAACACATACACTCATGTAGCTTCAAAAAAGAGCTACAAACCCTCAAACTGACGGAACCAGGCTTTAAAACAAAATCTAGAAAGATCTGGTGGCTTTCCCCGCTTCTTCCACCTTTCCTCTCCACCTCTGGCTGGAATGAGATCAGGCGCCACACAGGTCCTCCTTTCACACCCAGTTCCAGAACCCAGGCCCTGTCACTTGTGACTACCAGGTGAGAGCACGCAGCACACTCACGGCCTCCCAGAAGTGCACTGTGCGAGGTGATTTCTCCCCGTTTTGCACTGTATTTTCGTAGTTAGAAGAAATTCTTTAGCGTGGCCTCAGAGGAGGCTGAGATACTAAGAGAAAAAAAAGTCAAACTGCTCTCAACCTCTTGGTGAGAAAAACCGCTGTGGGGTGGTGAGCGCTGGGGTAAAGAGAGAAGACTAGGCCCCTGCCTGTCCTATGGGGGAGCTTCCGGACAGGCTAGCCATTCTGTCACCTGCGTTAGCCATTCTGGCCAAGGACAGGAGCAGTCTCTTGACCTGGAACTGCCCCTAACCCACAGAGTGACCCCGGAGTGAGTAACTCTCCTAAATTCCCATTTCCTTGTTGATATCAGGGCAGTAAAGGCGAGGTCGTAAACCGGACCCCTCCCCCATGCAGCCTCCCCCCCTACATTTCCACGCTCCTGGGATCCTCCAATTCTGAGGACAAGGCAAGCCCCTGCCCTTGCTCGTGCAAAACCGTAAAGGGCCGCTCGAGAGGAAAGGCATCCTGGAACCTGGGTCGCCCGTCTGAAATGGAGGCAGTCCTCCTCCGGGAAAAGAGGCCATGAAGGCCCCATCACTGTCCGCGTCCCCTCTCAGACACGGATTTCAGACCCCCACGGGACGAGGCAGGCACACACTGTCCCCTCCGAGGCAAGGAGGAAGTTACGGGGAGAAGGGCTGTAGGGTTGGAGCCCCACCCTGCCAGCAAGCTGGAAAGCTGAGGCGCATGTTGACAACAATTCCCTGACACCGTTAGGAGGGTGTCTGCTCAAAGGGGCTCCGGGAAAAATGCTGAGATGTCCCTGGGAGCTTGGCAAAACGTCGAGGTAGAGACGGGCACGGGAATAGGCCTGGCCTCGGCGGCGGCTCTGAATCCTCAGCCCAAGCGATCCATCCTTGCCCCAGAGCAGTTTCGAGTGGAGGGAACCTCGGAGGCCTCAGCCTCAGGGTTTGAGGGTTTGACCTCAGCCTTTGAGGTCCCTCGGGGGGGGGGGGAAGGTGCAGGCCCCGGAGGCTGCGCGAAGGCCCAGCTGAGAGAGCTGCGGGCTGGAGTCTTCAGAGACTCTTGAACTGGAGGTAAGGGAGAGGCCCGCGTGGCTGCGGACGTCCTCGCGGGGGATCCGGGACCTCAGCTGCCTCGTCTTTACGCTCAGGGAGTGGCTCGGCGGTCCCCTACGAGCACAGGGCCATTCGCGTTTTTATGAGAGGGCTCCCACGGAAAAGCCCCTGCTCGCTGCCACCTCCACCCCGCCAGGCTCCCCGCGGCCCTCCCGCTCCCTGCTCCCTCTCCAGGCGACGGGGCGAGCGCCCCGGGAGCTGCTGGCTGGGGGGACACCCGCCGCCGCCGCCGCCCTCCTCCCTCGGCCGGGCCGGTACCCCGGAGGGTGCGGCTCCGCTGGGAAGGGCCCCCGCCACCTCCTCTTTCGCTTTCGATTCGTTGCACGCAGGTTTTCGTTGAGAGCAATTTGGGACCGCCAGTGGCCCATCCGGAGTGCCGCGCGGTCGCGGCGCCCAGGTCTCCGGGGCGCTAAGGCCCGGCTTGAGCCCGCGCGGCGCCGCCCGCCGAGGGGCACGTCCTGGTTTTTTAAATTAGACGAAATGGTAAACTCCGGAGGTGTTTCTCTACCTCCTCCTCCCCGGTACAGACACAAGTCGCAGAGGATGACTCTTAGTTGATTTAGTCAAGGAACCAGGAGCTTTTGCAAATCCTCCTCCCCTCAAAGAGTGGAGAACGGAGGCGCAGGGGATAGGGAGAGTAGCCGTGAGTAGTCCACGGGTCAGCGCCAGAGGATGAAGTCCCTCGGTGAAGGGAGAGACATTCCCTGACAGTTTTAGAGGAAAAGTTGAAAGAGAATAAATAGCTTTCAATTTTTTTACCTTGTTAATTGCCACAGCCTACCCTCTCCCTCCCCTGCCTGCTCCAACAAGCCAGGCCCAAAGACATCTTCGTTCTTAACTAGAGAAACAAAAGGCTTGTATTAAAGTCTAATGGTAGCTTTTAAATCAGTGGACTTAGCATACATTTTTTTTTCCTTTAATTTACACATAGGGAGGTTCAAAGTCTTAAATGGAAAAGTCGGGGAAATGGTTAGGTATTTGCTCGAGTATAGTCCTGTACGTGTTGAATATGCGCACAGAAACTTTTGAGGGGGAAAAAATCTTTGTGTGTTTGTGTGTGTGTGTGTGTGTGTGTGAATTAAAAATTCAGGAAAAAAAAATCCGAGTACCAGGGTCCCCCATCTTGTTTCTCACAACTGTGCTTCAAGGGTGACCTTGTAACTCCTGGGCTTTTGCGCAGCCCTGACCCTAATCTGAGGCTATAACCAGCTCAGCCTAGAACCTTTCCAGAGCCATCGGAGCCTTCATTCGGTTGGCCCTGAGGTTCCGGACACCGAGGGAAACAGCTTTTAACATGAACTCTTGCTAATGTCTGGGACTTTTCTGGAGAGTGCCTTGATTCCCTTTGTGGGAGGGTTTCTTCTGGAGGCGAGGTGAAGGGCTGCAATCCGAAATGAAAAAAAAAAAACAAAACAAAAAACAAAAACAAAAACAAAAACAAAAACCGTCGACCACTGTAGCAGCTGAGAGAAAGGAGAGGTTGGTGTCCCCTGCATTTGGACTGGGTTAGGGCTTGCCTGCTGACCCCCTGGACAGCGATACAGGTCACCCGTCGAGGGTGAATAGTAAAGGAAAGAAATTTCTGGAAAGGAGCTCTTGGGCCCCTGGTGCCCTGGCGTCCTCAGTCCTGAAGCCTCCTTGCTCAGGAGGCCGGAGAGCTTAAACGCAGTCGCGAGTTTGGATAGGACACTGACCGCTTGGTTTTGTGTCCTGATGTCGGCTTCCCGGGTGCCACTTGCACGTTCATTGAGCACCCTGTGCCTTGTTTCTTAAGACCCTGCGGTCCCCTTACTGAGGGCATGGTCCTCAGATTGGGAAACCACACGAGTACTTGGACCCTGACTGCAACCAGGTGATGCTTCCCTCCAACGAATTCAGAGTGGACACCAATGCTGCCCCCTTGTTGAGGTGCTTTGAGCCACCAGCTCAGCGCCACCAGACAAGCGGGAGTCGGTCCTTCCTCCAAACGGGGCCCCTTTGGGGGGGAAGGACTAGGCTCCCTCGCTCTGGTCAACGAGCGGTTCCGGTCACAGCCCTTAACCACGGTCTCTTCTCTGAGACCAGTTAGACACGAATGGCCCCTTCTCTGCTCTAATTGTGCGAAGGCGGGGGCCCCCCACATCTCCGTTAAAGGTGCTTCTGGTCGTTAGTTAGTCTGGGGCGGTAACCATTGAGCCACCGGGGAACAGGAAGCCAGTCTCCCCGAAAGGCAAAATTAAGTCGGCTCCCGATGGCCTCTTAGGCTACAGGTACCCCAATAGCATCGGGGGTACCTCTCTGTCCCCAGCACATTCCGTAACCTTAAAAAAGATTTTCGCCACCCCCCCACCCCATCTCACCCACTCCCAACCTCCAGCACCAAGGAAGAGAGAGGGAAGAAAAAAAAATTAGCTAAGCCCCGG